CTCAATCATCCAAGTCATAGTTGTCCCAAAACTGCTTTTTCAAGAGGCAACTGAAACCTTCTTTGTTTTTCCTTGAAACTTCTTGGATGAGAAGCGAAATCTCTTCAAGTCAAAACAATGTCTGCTTGAAAAAGCACCTTTGGGATGCCTTCCTAGTTGCCTTTTAAATCTAGAGTGAGCCTCAGTGTCTGGATTCCACTTCTGGAATTTCCATTTCCATATGCATTTTTCTTTCTTCAAGGGCCTTGCAGAGAAGTAACTACAACGACCCATCAAGAAAGCAATATTAAAAGAACTGCTAATAGGGCAGCAGAGCTTGAAGGATAAACACTCGTTAGCTCAAGAACTAAACCAATTGTATTGCCAAAACATTATTTTAACATGATGGACCTCCTGCGGTGGCTGATGACTTAATTAGATAGCCAGAAATAGAGCAAGAACAAGGGGGCATCTGTTAAAATTTGTAATCTGCCTCTTCCTCGCGAAGTGCACCTCCCCATTCTACACACACACACCTCCCAACACACACACACTTTCCAATTGTTGCTTTCTCTTTCTATTTTCTGGCTCGGCTCCCATGTCATCTATTTGAGGAAACAAATCGTCTCTTTTATTAAGACGAAATATTTTGTTTTTATTTCTGCAAACTTCTGGATTCCTTCTATTGGATCCACGCCTCCACGTCTCCTAGCAGCCCCCCTTTGGGGCGTAAATGCATTTGAAGGCCTCACACGACCCAGAGCGTCCTTCTTACGACTGGTTTTCTCCCTGGTCTCCTTCCGTAGGTAAGTGAGGAACGGCCCGAAGAGAAAGTCGGCTGTTTTGCAGCGAGGGCGAGAGGCGCAGCCTGGGAGGCTGAACGGTGGCGTTCAGGTCCAGCTGCGCCCTGGTGGGAATCGGTGGAAAGAGAGAAGCAGAAAGCGGAAGACGAGAAGAAGAAAAAGGTGAGCTGCTTGCTGAGTTTCTGTAAAAGCTGTAGAAAGGGGGGGAAGCAGGATGTCAACGCTGCTAACATCGGATGTTTTTGCTTTGACAATATATGAAGGTGCAGCCAATTTCCCCTTAACTTGTGTGTTACTTTTAGAGTTAGAATTAGATGATACTGGGGGTGGAGGAGGAAGAAGGTGTATGGGAATTAGTTAGACATATCAACATCGTAGTAGAGTGTTTTTTCAGGTGGTTTGAAATAAGAGATGATAAGAAATGGCGGGCTGAAGAACTGGAGGGAAGGTCTGCATTTCAAACTAATTGGAGAACGTGATTTATGACTGTTAATTAGAGGAGGGAATTGTGCTTTGATACTATGTGTTTAGGGGAGGAGAATTCAGATTACGGCGTCAACCATGTAAGTGCCGATGCCATGCAACTTGAATAAAGATTCTTTAAGATAAACAATGCCTCGAAGTTCTTTGGAGAGTTTCATCTGTCGGAACCATGACACAGGAATTCGGTACTAGCAAAGTGGAAAGGATGTGTGGGGGGGACCCAAAGTACCCATGCTTAAGTTCTGTTTGTATCAGAAGGACCAGAGACCAATTTTGACTGACTTTCAACATTTGTTAACATGGCCTTTGACCACAAAATAGCATTTCTGCCCCAAAAGGTTAGGGACCTTGGTTCTAGATATTTGCAGCTCGGCTCTGGCGTCCTGACTTAACGACCGTGCGATGAGCTTAATTATTTCTCACAATGCCCGCCGTCATCTTTTCCAGCTTGAGGCCCTCAATCACGCCAGGTTGAAGATTGACACCTTGGATGACTTGGCGGCCATTGTCAAGCGTCACAAGCAGAAGAAGAAATGTAAGAAAGTGGTCCTCCCCAAACCGCAGGAGCCAGAAATTATTGTGAGTATTCTGGAGGGTTTCCTCAAAGGTGCAAAATCTGGGCAGGGCATCTTCAGCTTGTTTGAGAAAGAGTCAGGCTGCCCTGAAAGCTCCAAGGCTCCATCTCCGAGATGAAATTAGACTTGGCCGTGTCCACAGACAGCTTAGAGCACCCCGATCAGACACTGGCAAGAGCTAAAAAGGGCTTTGCTTGTCAAGAGTTCAGAAGTAGACTTTTGGGGGGCAACCGGTCCCCTCTCCTGGCGCAATCTCCCCGATATGCAGTGGGCCTCACCCTGCTTGTCTCTACAAAACTTGGCTTTTCTCCAGTGCTTTGAGGCCTGTGGGCCATTCTTATCTAGGCTTAGCCACGTAGAGTCCCCTGGGCTTATGGTCCACTCCAGATCCCATCTTACAAGCACAATCGGGACCAGAATTTTTCGTTTTTCTATGCAAACAGGCTTTTAAAGGAGTTGAGCCTGATTTTATGACCTTTTTTTGCCCTGGAGCGAGTCGCTAAGTGAGTCACATGGTTGTTAAGTAAATCTGAATGTCCCCATTGGCTCTGCTCATCAGAATCTCGCAGGAAAGTCTGCAAATGGCAGTCAAGTGACCCTGGGCCACTGGAGCCATCGTAAATAGCTGCCCGTTGCCAGGTGCTCAGATTTTGGTCACCTGAGCGTGGTGACGCCATGACGGTTGCGCGAGGACAGGTCATAAGTCACCTTGTCCAGTGCTGTTGCAACTTCGAACGGTCGCTAAGCAAACGGTTGTAAGTTAGGGACTATCTGGACTTTCTGGCTGCAATTGAAGTTTTTAAGAAGAGACTGGACAGCCATTTGTCCGAAATGGTATAGGGTTACCTGCCTGAGCAGGGGGTTGG